AGGTTCTCTGTCGCTTTCTTCTCTTTAAATATTTCTAGAGCCCTTGAGTCTGTCACTCAGAAAATGGAGTTGTTGCTATTGGTTTTCCAGAGGCTGTCACCCTTAGTGATCTTTTCTCTGCTCTACTGATTTATCTTTTCCATAATAATAGCTTTCACCTTTTTGTCTAATTTCCAAAATTCATCTTTCTGCAAAACTGGTTTTATGTTCCCATGCTTGGCCATTTGACCTTTTTAGTGATTGTCCTTTTAAGGGCTAATAATCAGTTCAACATGGTTAATCTGCCATTGTTGATACTAGAGGCAGATCAGCTGTGTTTCCTTTTCCTCCATGATTCCTCTTTATGTGATTATTTCACTTTCAAATGTTCAATGCTGTGTTTAAAAAGTATTTCACATTGTAAATTCTATATATTATACTATTTTCCCTTCATCTAACCTACATTTTATGAGGCTTTATACATGCGGGTTAACTGAATCGAAAGCATCTGCTTGATGCCACTCTCCATAAGAGAACATGAAAAATTCCCGTTTGACGCATGTACATCATTCTTGTTCATCAAATCTGGAGCTTCAGTTAGGAAATTCTATGCAGAACATATATTGCCAGGCCAATTTTACCAGATATAGGAATGACTTTATTTTGATCTTTGCTATGATTTTCTAATCATAATCATAAGAGGGGAAACAAGTATTGAACTAAAATTATTCATTTTTAAATAAGTTTGAGCCTCTGACAAAATTATGAAATAGACATATATACCTTATTTTCTTTCCAGATTCTCTACCAAGTCCATTCAACCTTTATAAGTACTCCTCTGCCTCCAATTCATTTATGTCGAAAAACCTCATCCTTCATTCTGACTCTCCTGAACATTCCACCATGGTGCTCCATTCAAATCTGCCCTCTAGATGTAGAACCACCTGATGTGCAACTTTCCTGACATCCCATCCCATCTAAGTTTGTCATAGCGTTCTCCTATTATTCCCTTCTTGTCCTTCTTGAGTCACTAAAGTGACTCAAAACTAAATCTCAATTTCATGTTAATAGCCATTAATGACTTAAACAGTGACTGTTCTCAGGTGACTCAACTATATTTTAAGAGGGCTTCTAATGCCTTAACCTGAAATGTTATAGAATGATGGCAATTTCAAGTTCTATGGCAGATGAGCAAGGGAAATATATACGGATGGTGGTGCCCCACATAACCTTCCAATCACACTATGTAAAAAGCTTTTTGCTCTGAGCCTGAGCACGGCTGCCCCTGCTTATTGCAGACTGCAACTAGACAACTACACAGGCTGAAGGGATTATTTCTGGTGGAATCTTGATAAACCAATCAACCTTCTTACCCTTGGAGGCATAGTGATTATGAGTTATTGGCTGAGCTTCTGAATGCAAAAGGATGATGCTCTCTGAAGGGGAATACAGCCACTCAGACATTAAGCAGAGCATTTTGTTAAAATCAATTAAAGGTTTAAATTTCCCATATAGTTTGAGGGGCTTAAATTTTTAATTCAAACTAATTTATCAAGCAATGTCACTTCAGAAAATGGAATGATGCAAAGAGACTTTTATCAGATGATAAGTGGATAAGAGAGAAAAACGCTGACAGATCAGCAGAGTTACCTAAAACCTGCGAGGCAAGGAGAGCCTGGCGGATTCCTGAGCCTGGCCAGGGAACAGAGATAAATGGGAGCAGAGATCAGAAAGCTCAGCCTCACCCTTCTGCCCATGGTGGAGGGAGACTCACAGCATGTGAGGTACCTGTCTCTAATCACATGTAAAACTACGCAACTTGCAGGGTTACTTTGATATGAACAAGGTTAATGTGCTACTCAAGATTAATTGTGACTTCGCTAAGAAATTTATTGAGGATGAGGGAATCTGAAAGTCAAAGGAGGATCAAAAGCCTTGTTAGAGATTTATCACAAGAGGGTGATGGATGAAAGCCTTCAGAAACCAATAATAGGATTTTAAAGATTCACATAAGCAGCATTAAGGAGATCTCCGGTGCTTACCTTAGACAAACCAGAGCTGGTGGATGGATGACAACCTGGTCAAAGCTGCAAGGGGAGGCACAGCTGGTTATTGTGGCGTGGGCCTCGAGGACTGTCCATGCTTTGGGGAGGTTTTGAATCCTGGGTCTAGTCCTCTACACAACATTTTATAGATTTAGTTTTAGACTGCTCAGTAGACAAATAGAAAACAAAACAACTTTCAGAAAAGCTGATGATAGTTATGAGCATGGGCTTTATAGTCAAATAGATCTGGGCTGGAGTCTCATCTATGCCACTCCTTAGGTGCACAATCTTGGGCAATTTACTTAACTTCTCAAATCCTCTATTTCCTTATAAGAACAACAGGAAAAAAGATGTGCCAACTTATATTTTTGTTGTGAGTATTAAATGAGATAATGAATTTTAAGTGATTAGCAGAGTCCTTCGGCACACAAAAAATTGAGCTAACATCGTCAGAGTCATTTTCATTGTTGTTGGCATTCTTAGTGGTCGTAGTAATAGCAGTAGGTACAGAAACAAAATAAAGGAGCTGTGAACTCAAACTGTGGTGCCTAGCGTACCCATTGCCACCACAAATATATTCTGTGATATAACCATAAAATGTATGTTCGTTTTTCCCTTTCATACATAAACAGTCAAATGATTCTCTCTCTCTTCTTTATCAATAGGTTTATTGGTCCCCAAAATTGTTTGTCATTACATCATTACTTTGCATAGAACATGTTACAATTAGTTAGATCCAGCTTATCTTACTTTTAGAACTTATTGCTATTTTAGATGAGCTTGAGGAGGCAACCTGGACTGAACCAGCTATATTAACAGTGTATTCCTCCAAGGGTAATCTTCTGGAGAGATTTCCATGGATGGCTAATACACATGTGGATTCTTGTTACCTTCAACTTCAGTGAGGAATATACTTTAATTGTTTTCCATAAATTTTTAGATTAAACACGGTTTTTGAGCCCCGAAGTTTTCCAGGAATTTACTGAACAATCCATTTCTTTCTGCTTTATATATTTCACAGAAAGGCAAATTAAAATTTAAAAGGAGGGGCCAGCCCCATGACTTAGTGGTTAAGTTCAGCCCATTCCACTTTGGAGGCCCAGGTTCAAATCCTGGGCATGGACCTACACCACTCATCAGCAGCCAGGTTGTGGAGGAGACCAGCAGACAAAGTAAAGGAAGACTGGCACAGATGTTAGTTCAGGGCGAATCTTCCTCAAGCAAAAAGAGGAAGATTATCAACTGAGATTAGCTCAGGGTGAATTTTCCTCATGAAAAAAAAATTAGGAAATTTTGGTCAGGATAACTAAAATAGAATATTGTGATCACCTTTGATTACGTGGAGTTTATGCAAGAAAAGCTGCTTATTTTGGCTTCGAGGTGTTAGGCTGACTCAATAGTCCTCCAGCCAGATGCCTTACCCAGTTCTTCTTAGTCTTGTTGACCGCTTCCTCCTTCTTTCCTTGACTTTCTTCTCATCTCCCTCTACACTCTCTTGGTGATTTCATCATCTTCAAAGAGAGTATCTGCATCCCACTCTCTTTTACTACCTCCAGACACATCTATGTCCAACAGCCTATTGGAGATTCCTCAACTTCATGCCTCAGTGGCAACACACTCATTTATTCACTCAACAATTTTTAAGAGTCTACCATGTGCCAGGCCATCTTCTAAGCCAAGGAGATAAAATAAACCTTACAATCCACTGAATGAGGGAGTTAATAATTAAATAATAGCACACTAAAATAGAATTTTAGTCTGTAATAGATGGTATAAAGGGAAAACAAAGGTTATTATAAAACATTTTAAAAGGAGAAGAAGACCAAGCCAGGAAAGACTGTTTATCTTCCTCTACTGCTCCAAATCTCAGTAAATGGCATCATCATACCCCCAGATGCTCAAGCCAAAAATCTAGAAGAGATCCTTCATTCCTCCCTTCCACGCGGTCCTCACATGCTGTCTGTGAGTAAATCCTCTCAAGCATAGATCTTGAATGTTTTCACATTGGTCCATGTCTCTGTGTCTCCTAGTCCAAGCCAAAATTATCTTTCCTAACTGGTTTTCCTGCATCAGCTCTTGGCCCACTCCAATCTAGGCTCCACACATCAACCAGAATGCCTTTAAAAATATTTAGGATTTTTAGCTGGTTCAAGAGGGCAACATAGGAGGATCCTGGGCTCACCTCCTCCATGGACACAGCAAATCTGTAGCTATATATGAAACAACTTCCTCTGAAAAAAACCTAGAAACTGTCTGAGCAACTGCTACACTGGTGACATGGAGACAAACGAGAGAAGGCCCACATTGAAGTGGGTAGAAGAAATTGAGACACAATCTTGCCATAAACCCGATGCCTGGCTAAGCAACCCACAATGGGGAGGGAACTGAAAACCTGGAGCTTCTCTCTGAGGAGCAAAGGGTTTGAATCCCACACCAGGCACCCCAACTTTTAAGACTGGCACCTGAGAGAGGAGTCCTCAGAACATCTAGCTTTGAAAACCAACAGGGCTGGGGGCTCAGGTAGGAGACCCACAAGGCTAAACCGATCTGAGAAATAGCTTTTAAAGGTCTTGCAGCTCCAACTCACCTGCCCCAGAGCTCAGTGTAGAAGCAGTCCATCCAGAGAAGGACAACATAGCCAAGGCCCTGAGTAACCACAGCCATTAGGATCCAGTTACGTAAGATGCACTCTCTATGATCAGCACTGCCTAGAGCTGACCTTCAGTTCTACAAGCAGCCCAGAATCTTTTGGAGATGGAGTAGGCCAAGATGGAAATGTCTTCAAAAATATTTCTGTCATTTCTAAGAAACCATGCAACGTACTTTAGAATAAATACGTATGTGTGTATGTATGTATATATACAGATATATTCATATATACTGTTATACACTATATATGTATATATTACATATATACATACATGCATATAACCCTACCCACTATATATACGCATATACGTGATATGTGTGTGTATATACGTAAACCATATGTAATATATATTATATACGTATTTGTGTTTTTGAATATATATGCATACAAAATGCATTTCCTAGAATGAGTTATCAATTGACAAAATAAGATTAACCTGGTTTTAAATGGAAAATGGCTAAATTGGAACTGAATGAGCTCGAGAGAGTGATACAACTTATCTTTAATAAGGCAACATAATTTGATATTTAAACTGTTCCCTTATTATTTCAGGTCCAGAACTAGTAACTATTTCTGAATCTTTACCTCATATCTAAAAACTTTCTGTAGCTCATTTTGGAGAATAGTTATTTACTAATAATAAATTATCTAAACTATTTGAGACTTCACATTAAATAGAAACCCAAATGACTTGTCAGATGAGATGTGGAAGAATTTCTAAAGTAATTGTACATATGACTGAAATGAGACTCAACCAAACAATGCCCAAATCAGCTTCCGTGGCAAATTCACTTTCCTTTGGTAGAGAAGTTAGGTGTTGGGGAGGGCACAGTGACAGCTGTCACCATGTTCAGACAACAGCCCAATCCAAGCTGCCTCCGTTCATCAACTTGGCCTAATCTTTCAAACAAGGTAGACGCAGGCCATTGGACTAAAGCTCAGCAGACACTGGAAATCTGCACAGCCGTGAGCAGTGAAGTTAAGGTGAAGATCTCAGGAAAGAATGAGAGAGTCGAAAGAATTATATCAAATCCTGTTCTTGATAGTTTTATTTTCTAGGAGTAAAATTGGCTATAGTTAGCTCAAATTTACAATAACTGTTTCTTTCCCACTTACCAGGATTTGAGATTTGTCTAGTAATACAACTGCAAAAAATGACTTCCCTTATGTGGGCTGAAAAATTCTTGTCTGTTGCTGGATCCACATATCTCGGGTTAGTCCACAGATCGCTGTTTGAAAGGAGTAGGTATAGATCAGTAACTTTCATTCCTGGCTGATGTTAGAATTACCCCATAGCTTTAAAAAACACAGAAGCCTGGGCTGTACCTGAGATCTTCTGAACCACAATGCCGGGGCATGGGGCCCAGATATGTACAGTTCTTTAAAGTTCCAATGGTAATTTTGATGAACATCCACCATTAAGAACTTATGACTTAGATGATCTCTAATGTTCCTTCCAACTCTAAATTCTGCAATTTCTTTGAAATACTCATTTAAAAACCAACTGTTTTTTTCATGAAGTCATATATACTCCCAAAGTATTCAATTTTGATAAATTCTAAAGAAGTATGTTTCAACAGCAGTTGTAAAAGTAACAGGGTTTATGTTTTAGGAATGCCTTCAAATCACATAAGAGAAAAACCATCAGTAGCTTAAAAGAATAGGAGAGAATTTTTTCCCCCATACAGTAAGAAATCTGGAGGAGGGCAGCTGTTAGTGTTGTCTCAGAAGCTCAGTGAGGTTGAGATGATCTTCTGGTCACAGATGGTTTTGCAGATCCAACCATCTTGGCTTCATTCGAAGCAGAAAGAAGAGAGAAGAACAAGAAAAGCTGGGGAGCTGCAACCATCTCCTTTAATGAGGAAAGCAAAAGCCTTAGCAAACACCTTAAGTAGACTTCTGGTCGAGTCCTATTGACAGAGCAGGTTCTTAAGACCATGTCATGTTGTAAGACATCCTGAGAATTGGCTTGGACCAGCCATAATCTATTGCCAGGGCTGAACACGTCGTAGCCACACTAGCTGAAAAAAATAAGGTTCTGGTTATGAAGGAGGAGGTTGGATATTGAGTAAAGAAAATGTTGTAAACAATTTATTTTGTCAACTCTGATGGAAAAATTTGGGATAAAGTTCAATTACATTTTGTTATAGAAAATAATAATAATCTATCATAATATACAAAATATTTTTATGTCTTTATGCAATTGCTGAAGAATAACTTCAAAAATATTTTGGCAAATGTAACCATGAATATAACAAGTGGGTATCCTATCTTTCAACGTAATTTTTTTTTTTTTTGAGGAAGATTATCCCTGAGCGAACATCTGCTGCCAATCCTCCTCTTTTTGCTGAGGAAGACTGGCCTTGAGCTAACATCTGTGCCCATCTTCCTCTACTTTCTATGTGGGACGCCTACCACAGCATGGCTTGCCAAGTGTTGCCATGTCCGCACCCGGGAGCCAAACCGGCGAACACCAGGCCACCAAAGCAGAATGTGCAAAATTAACCACTGCACCACCGGGCCAGCCCTAGCAACATAATTATTTTGAAAAACAATATTTATAGGATCCATAAAATCTTGTGTTATATCATTTATACCACATATTTAATCCATGACTATTATTGTTTTACACTGTTAAACCATGATTTTCATCTAATAGAAAATAAACCAAGAAGAGATATAATTTTTTTATTTAAAAATCACTGAAAAAGTTTTAAAAATAGGGATTTTAAAATCCATCAAACCCTATTGTTCAATTTAGCAACAGGTATCAAAAGCCTTAAAACTGGGAACACATTATTGGCTTTAGCTATTCAATTTTTAAATCAGATAAGAATACAAAAATTATAAATGGTATTTTTAATAGAGTAAATTTTATTAACTAGTTTAACTGCCTAATAATAATGGATTATTATATGAAATATACATCATATTATCATGTGATGGCATGCTATTTTTAAAAATTAAATAGTAATTAAGGAGATTACTTAATGACCTGGAGATGTTCAGAATATATTAAATGAGTAAAGAAGATACCTAATTAACTGCAGTATAGTCCAAATTGCTTAAATACTTATTTATATTCTTTTAATTTATTGTTTTTTTAAGTATGCTTTTTTTTTTTTATGATGAGGAAAATCGGCCCTGAGCTAACATCTATTGCCAATTTCCCCCTCCCCCATTTTTTTCTCCCCAAAGCCCTAGTACATTGTTGTATATTGTAGTTCTAAGTCATGTTTATTGAATACTTACTATATGCCAGGCTTAATGCTTTACATGTATTTATTTCACTAGATTCTCACAACTAGGAGGGAAGTTCTATTAAGCTCCCATCTTACAGATGAAGAAACTGAGGTTTAGAACATTCATGGAACTTACTCAAAAACACATAGCTTACAAATGGCAGAACTAGGATTTGAACCCAGGAAGTATGGTTTTAGAAACCAGGCTTACACATCTACAAAAATATTTACCTAGAGGAAAAAAATTGACCAAAAGGATAACAAAAGTTATGTCTGGGTGGTGAGATTACAGTGTGCTTTCTAACTATAATCAGAAAATATGATGATTATTTGATAAGCTTTCAAATCCAATAATCCCTTAATAAGCTTTTTAACGTGGTTTGATAGGCTATCAAGTAACCCCACAGTGCTCTACTGAACAACTACTGATAATATGAACTCTTTAAACTGTTACTATTCTTCTTCACTGAGAGAGAAGACCTTCCTAAAATCACAACAATGAAAACTAACAGCTCATGTACAATATCCCCTATGTGGTTCTCTTTAAGATCAATAATCTCATTACATCGACATCATAAAGTCGACTCATTAGAAGGAAATAAAATTCATGAAAATTCCCTTGTTTCATGAAATCAAGAAGGAGGAAGGAGGGGCCAGTTCCATGGCACAGTGGTTAAGTTCGCACGTTCCGCTTCCGCAGCCCCAAGGTTCACTGGTTGGGATCCCAGGTGCAGACCTATGCATCACTTGTCAAGCCATGCTGTAGCAGGCTTCCCAGGTATAACATGGAGGAAGACACAGGCACGGATGTCAGCTCAGAGCCAGTCTTTCTCAGCAAAAAGAGGAGGATTGGCAGCAGATGTTAGCTCAGGGTTAATCTTCCTCAAAAAAAAAAAAAGAAGGAGGAAGGAAAAGATCCATAAAAAACATGTTTAGAAACTGAATAAATTCCATTTAATGAACTGCTATGCATCCAGTAAAAGAACCATGGAGACGCATGAATAGTGGCTTATAAAAAGATTTCCTAATATATTATCAAGTAAAACACCAAGAATAAAGACAACACAGGGAGAAAAGTCTCATGTATTTTTTTCTAAATACATAAATATACATGTATAAATGAATAGAACATGGTCTCAAAGATACATTTTCAAAAACTTGCCACCAAAGGTCATCAGTACATCCCTTCCAGGAAGGAGCGTGAAAGGACAAGCCCAATGGGAGAGCTTTCAGTTTTTACTTTCCATGGTACTGTCTTATTCCAAGTTTTTCAAATGATGTATTAAATGAATTTATATTATTCAATTTTGAAGAAATATAACAAATGGATACAGATTCTTAAAATTACCGTCACTCATAGTCATCATGCTTACTATAACCTATATGTATTTTTGTCGTTTTTTCATACATCTCAATAATAACTCTTTTATATACTACAGTTTGTATTTGTCCGATACAATTTTAGAAAAAGCAAAGGGGAAATTAATTTATTTCCATAACTTTAAAGAAAGCAAAATTGAATATATTTTACATTTTTTTTAAAAGAAAGGAAAAGTATTGTCCTGTATGCAAATATTGTTGATTGTTTACTTCTATCACAAAAATGGATATCTGAATTTAAAAAAGAAAAGTAGGCGAAAGCAAAGTAGACATAATTTATAATGGAAAATTTGTGTTATTCTCTGTGCAGCAAGACTATTCAGATATTCTAATCGTGAAGTTAGATGCGTACTTACTGACCCCATTTGCTCCAGCACAAAGTTATTATCCCAGCAAATTTTTTCTTCCTTCAAAAGTATTTCTTCCTAAATGAAAATTAGAGAAAAAAATAATAACATATCAAATAATGATCCTTCTTTTCTCCTTTTGAAAGGCTCAAACTACTATTTATTCATATTATACAAATGCATTAAACCTTATAATTTGTGATTAATCCCTATGACTAATCAGCAGGGAAAAAAGGTATTACAATGTATTTAATATGCATTGAAGAATTTTAAGCTAAATTGATTATAATTACTTTATCCTCTGTGCTTATTTTCTAAATTGCACAAATAGTTATGAAATTTTTCATAGAATTTTAGTGAAAGAAGAAACTATAAAGACCATTTAACAGATAAGGAATCCGAGGTCCAGAAAGCAATTATCTAAAGGTATAGCGCTAATTACTCTCAAAGCTAGGATTATAACAGAGATGTTCAACTTAAAAGATTGTGTGTTAACAGATGGAGCATCATGGGAAATAAGGTTTCAGCAAGAAATCTAACCAAACAGGTTAGATAAGAGATAATGAAAAAATAATAGATGACTTGAATATAACAGCATACTGACATTATTTGTGGCAAAAATAAAACATTTCACTAAGATCATCTATTTAGTGTTGTTAAATCCTAAAAAGAATGAATAGTCAATATATATTAAGTTCTGTTCAATAAGTAAATATCGTAAAACCTACTGGAAATATATTTTAGAGAAATAAATACTTCAAAGGACGTTGGTCTATACTGATACCTGACTAAAAACTTTCTTCTCCAATAAAATCTTGCAAAAAATTAAACATCAACTCCATTGAGTATTGTGATGCTGCTGGTTAAACTGATTTTCTAAGTGTTTTTGTTTTTTGTGTATGTGAGTGTGACGGTTATTTACTCAGGGCTTGAGAAAATTTTTAAAAATGTAGGTTGATTTCAGGTTTATTAATGATCATTATATTTTCAATTCATGGTTTAATGCGAATCTTCCCTACAATATTTAACATGGGAATGCTTATTTCTAGGAGATATGATATGTGATAGAACAATTCTTGGCTGGGGGTGATCTTGAAATTTAAAAGAGAGATTTTAAAAGTCCAGAGATAATCAGTGCATGGGTCAGTACTTCTGCTCAATAGATACTTGATCAATTTCTAAATTTAATAATTACCTTAAATTCCAGATAGAAAATGAATTAATTAGCTTGAGAGGGATACCACCAAAGGCATTTGAAAGAACATGAGATTACTACTCTCCATGATGCCATGTTCAACAGTATTCGATACGGCTGTGACATATCCTACTAAACTATCAATTCTTTCAGAACACGTTTATTGAGTGCTTAGTTTACAAACACTCTTCTAAGCACTGGGGCTGCAGGAGCAAGCAATGCACCAAAACCCCTACCTTCAAGGAGCTTACACTGCAGTGAAGGAGACAGACATAAACAAGAGAAACAAGAGAAAAAGTAAATTGCAGAGTTCGCCAGATAGTCATAGGTCCTAAAAAGGAAATAGAGCATGCTTAGTTCCAACCACCTCCTTGAACTGTGGAGAGCATGACACTTCTTAGCCATAGGTTTTGTTTATTTATTTACTTGAAAATGTAATGATTCTGTTCTAAACCTTTCCATTTCTGGGTTGATCTGGGTTGTCACTTCTTGACCTTTTCTGCTCATTTATATTCCTATTATGGTTTAATCAGGGACTTACATTATCCAGATTCACCAAAGCGTGGTAGGAGAGTAAGAGAGTGCTTTTAAATCTCTATTTTGATTAAATTTACTACCACTATCTCCTCAGCTCCCACAATTGTACTGGTGCACTTCCATCCCCTCTAGAAGGGCTCAGTAAATGCTCAGGACTATAAAGATACAGTCTGCCTTAGACATCCCATTGAGCTTGGCAACAAAATTCAGGCAGAGGAAGTCAAATTATACAATGGCCTAATCCCATCAATTAAACATTATGCTTCACCCATTGACTTGGCCACCCACTGTGGCACAAGCCAAATACAGACATCCATAATTATTTTGTTCCAATAAACAGGAATTTTCCACTACTATAGAGGCTGGGTGTTCTATATACTATAGAGGATTGGTTGTTACCCAAACATGTTCTTTGTGGGGGTCCTATAAAGACAACCCTCAGGGCAAAAGAAATACTGAACAGTTTGTGCTCAAAAGCAAGCAATCAATAAACCTCAAGTACCAATAGACACAATCCATTATTGACTAAGTTGAGATTTCACTGAGAAAGAGTGAGATTATTGGCAACCCATACATTCATTCATTTCATGTGTGAAAAAACACATTTTTCTCTCTGACTCCTGGGAGCCAAGAAAAATTCCTGACACTGAGTCAGTAAGACACAGTGCCTTTTCTTCTAGGAGTTCACAGTAGTATACAGACAACTCAACAGAGAACCACACTGTGACATCTTAAATACAATGATAAGACATGAATAGGGACATATAGGACCTCAGAGAAGGAGCACCTAAACTAATTTGGAAGGAGGCTGAGGAGGGAGAGACTTAGCACTCAGAAAAGACTTTCTGGAATTAGCTTATACCTGAGCCAGGTTATCCAGATGAAAGAAGGAAGAAATCGAAGGATAGAGTGTATATCAAGTACTACAAAGCAATTCACTGTTGAGCAGGAGTAAATCTGACACTGACAGCAGTGAAGAGATGCGGGGACCAGATCCCGGAAGCTTGGACATCATTCCATAGGCAATACCCGAGTCATCTATGCGTTTTTAGGAAAAGAGTGACTTCAGTTTTGTGGAGGGTGGAAAACCTAGATTTGGAGGCTATTGGTTTGATTCTGGAAGAACGTAATAAAAGTCTAAACTAGGTAGTAGTAGTTGGGATGGTTAAGCAGGAACATTGGCAGGACTTGGCAATTGATTGATATGGGAGTGACAAAAGAAGTCAAACCAGGCTGCCAGGCTTCGAGCTTCCATGATGAGTAAAGAACTCTTGGGGAGTCTTAGGCAAAAGGGTTTGTTGACAGGGAGCCGTGTGGCATGCAGGTGGAGAGGATCTGCAGGCAGCTGTAAGCATAGCCTCTGAGTTCTGTGTTGCCCTTTTATAAATGTTCATCCTCTTCAAGGCCATCCAATCTTCATTTTAATCAAATTTTATTAATTTAATTAAATTTTAATGATTTAGATGCAAATTTTCAGGCCAAAAGGCAGGAAACACAATGGGATATACTCTGCTTCCCCTTAAAGATAGTTCTGTAGAGACCCTTAGTACAAACGAACTTTGCTCTTGCTCACTATAGGGAGAAGGGAGCATAGTACAACCAGTCAGTTGGGTTTATAATTAGATAAAGAATAATATTAATAACGATGTACAATTAAAAAGAAGAAAGGAGAGAGGATATATCATGCATTACCTTACTTTATTCTCATGACAATCTACTAGGTAGGTATTATTTTCAATTTAAGGATGAGGAAAATAAATTTCATAAAAGTTAAAAAAATGATCCTAGATGACATTGAAAGTCAGTAGTAGAGTCAGGATTTTTAAAAGAAGAAAAGAAAAGAACTATTATTATTTTTTTAATTTTTATTTTTTTCGGATGTACATATTTCACATTCTGGATACATTACATCATGTTCACCACCCAAAAACTAATTTTAGTCCATCCCCTCACATGTGAGCCTAATCACCCCTTTTGACCTCCCCCCCCTTCCCCAAACGTAACCACCAGTCCAATCTCCAATGCTACGTGTTTTTTGTCGTTTTTATCTTCTACTTATGAGTGAGATCATATGGTATTTGACTTTCTCTCTCTGACTTATTTCACTCAGCATAATGCCCTCAAGGTCCATCCATGTTGTCACAAATGGCCGGATTTTGTCATTTCTTATGGCTGAGTAGTAGTCCATCGTGTATAAATACCACATCTTCTTTATCCTTCCGTCCCTTGATGGGCACCTAGGTTGCTTCCATCTCTTGGCTATTGTGCATAATGCCCCAATGAAGATAGGGGTGCAAGTATCTTTATGCCTTTGTGTTTTCAAGTTCTTTGGATAAATACCCAGCAGTGGAATAGCTGGATCATATGGTAGATCTATCCTTAATTTTCTGAGGATACTCCAAACTGCTTTCCATAGTGGCTGCACAATTTTGCACTGCCACCAGCAGTGAACAAGGGTTCCCTTCTCTCCACACCCTCTCCAACATTTGTCATTGCCTGTCTTGTTAATTACAGCCATTCTGACCAGAGTGAGGTGATACCTCATTGTAGTTTTGATTTGCATTTCCCTGACAGCTAATGATGTTGAGCATCTTTTCATATGCCTGTTGGCCATCTGTATATCTTCTTTGGAGAAATCTCTCCTCAGATCTTTTGCCCATTTTCTAATTGGATTGTTGGTTTTTTTGTTGTTGAGCTGTGTGAGTTCTTTGTATATTTTGGATATTAACCCCTTATCTGATACATGGTTTGCAAATATCTTCTCCCAATTGTTAGGTTGTCTTTTCGTTTTGTTGATGGTTTCCTTTGCTGTGCAGAAGCTTTTTAGTTTGATGTAGCAATCTATAGATTCAACGCAATCCCTATCAAAGTTCCAACAACATTTTTCACAGAAGTAGAACAAAGAATCCTAAAATTTACATGGAAACAAAAGACCCCGAATAGCCAAAGTATTCCTGAGAAAAAAGAACAAAGCTGGAGGTATCACACTCCCTGATTCCAAATTATACTACAAAGCCATAGTGACCAAAACAGCATGGTACTGGCACAAAAACAGACACACAGATCAATGGAATAAAATTGAGAGCCCAGAAGTAAACCCACACGTTTATGGACAGCTAATATTCGACAAGGGAGCCAAGAGCATACGATGGAGAAAGGAGAGTCTCTTCAATAAATGGTGTTGGGAAAACTGGACAGCCACATGCAAAAGAATGAAAGTAGACCATTCCCTTACACCATGCACCAAAATCAACTCAAAATGGATTAAAGACTTGAATGTAAGATCTGAAACTATGAGACTTCTAGAAGAAAACATAGGCAGTACACTCTATGACATTGGTCTGAGAAGCATATTTTCAAGTCCCACGTCTGACTGGGCAAGGGAAACAAAAGAAAAAATGAACAAATGGGAAAAGAACTATTATTGATGAAAGGCCTAATTTACATCCAGCCTTCACACTTTATATATATTCGTTAATTTAATCCCCGAGGGTAGGTATCACTGTTTTGATTTTTTTATTATGCACCATAACAGTGATTTGCCTACTGTTGAAAGAGGTGTTTCAGAAATCTAAGTATTTTATTCAAATTTTATTTTTATTTTTTAAACTAATTAAAAAACTATTTTAAACAATATATACACACCAATCCCAAATTATGGGACATTAAAGGAAAACAATATGTTAATGTTTGTTGCCAGGTTAAATTGTTGAGTGGCAAACCTCCAGATATAATATCTCTTCTCACCTCTACTTGAAAAGTATGCTGTGACTGCAAGGTGTTATGTTAAAAAAAAAAAATCATGTTCAGCTACTTATCTGTGTGAATGGTCATTTTCTCCATATTGTGTAGCTAATGTAAAATAAACAAAAATTTGTATGCTGAATTAAATTTTCATGTTTATCAAAGAAGCTTTAATTAGGGTATTTAAATGTATTTGACTAAAGGCATTTTAGGAACTATATTTTACTAAAGCATGACTTTCATCTGTTTTATAAATTGGGATTTCAGATAAAATTTTACTTGACAAGAAGAAATTCTGCTTAAAACAAACAGCAACAACAAGTTTTAAAAGCATTGTAATATACAATATTTCTCATGTGAAAACTTTTCTGGTTGGTTAATCAACATGGCCTCAATTCCACAAGACTTATAATCCATTCCTGAGCAGTTAGCCATGCTCCCAAAGGCAGCCTATCTGTTCTGGAAGCTAAAGAGACTTTCTAATGTGCGAAGATGACTTCATTTACCGGTTTTTAAAAAATAAATTTATGTTTTTAGTATTGTTCATGTCAACATAAATTATATAAAATCTGAAGTTTTTAATTCTAGCTGATTGGATTTTTATGGTTCATATCACCCTAGAGGCACAGGTTTAATAACTTTTCTATTTTCCGTAAGACATAATACTTGGAAAGATTTAAGAGTCCAATAGCTGCTGATAGAGTTTGTATGGCAGATTACCAAAGGAAAATACTGCTATATGAAAACAGACCTTTTTCCCTGACATTTAAGGTTCTTCATGGCTGGACACTGTTTTATCGAACTAGACACTAACCGTAGCATTTCAGTCACTGTGTCCTTAATTATGTCAGAAACAGATTTGGATATTCAAGAATATCCAAAAAACAAACAAACAAAAAACCAACCCAGCTGTCTACTTTTGTGGGTGAGAATATTCAGCTGAGCCAGTTAAAATACTAAGAAATCTGTTCACCTTATAAAGGTTGTGTAAGAAGGCAGTTATAACATGGTGATGGTGTCCTGCCGGGCCTATAATTTGAAAGTCATCATGATTTTAGAATTGTCTTCAGAACATTTGAAGCCATGTGGTTGAAGTCTTTCATGCAATATCTCTTAGGACTCCAGCCAAACCCTAGCCCTCTCAAAGGCAGGAATCGTCCTTTGCAAACCTCAGAATAACAAAAACAGTGTCCTGCATGTGGTGAGTGGACATCGAACACGGATTTATTTACGTGATTTATTTAAAACGGTTCACCTAACAGAGAAATCTTCTGAAGCCAGGGGCCCTGGGTATAGCCTAAAGTTAGCCAACCTTTGGCATTCTGGCATTGCTTCAAGCTAGTCATAGCTTTCACAAATGGGAGCTTGCTTCTTTGTTTTTTTCGAAAGCCTATTGTGCTCTTGCCAAGTAACACTCAAGCCACTTCAAAATCACAGCCCAACAGACAGGCAGTCTTCTGGGGACTCACTTTCTATTTCCTCACTCAGTCCTCTTTATGCGGTCTTAGTAAAGTGTCTGTCGGTTCCTCTTAAAGAACAATGGGACGAAATAACATGTGGAATTGACGTTGGGAGCAGCCGCCTTCTCTTCGACTCCTAGCCCTGCTCACCTGGTTAGAGGAAGAAAAGCACTGAATTAGTCTGGGGCAAACCAAACTGTGTGGGTGGAAAGTACAGAAAGGCTTGGAAAAGCCTGGAATTTTCAGAGAAAAGAAGAAAGAACCATTCTGATGCCACCAATAAAACAGTTCTTTAGTCTGTGGGCTGTTGTTGACACCAGAGGCCCTCCAGGAATCACTGAGAAGCTCCACCAATGGAACCTTGTGCCACTTCCTTCAAGAACGATGCCACAGAGTGGTGTGGGAAAATGGAGATGCCTCCTGTCTCCCTTGGGATCCCGATGAAAGAGACGTATATTCAAGAGCTTTAACGAGATGTGTTCTCAGGAACAACTGTGAGGGAGCAAGGGGAGCAGCATTGAACAGAGGGAGTGGACAAACTGAGATGCAGTCACAACAGTGGCCTCAGCCAATCGCTCAAAAATCTCTAATGCTTGGAAGTCCTCCAGAGGTGTTCTTATTGAGACAAGGAGTCTGGGCCTTTGTACCGTCCAACAATGACCATGTGCTGTCCGACAGTGACCAATCACTGAATGTGGGCTGCCCCTGGGGAGGGGGCTTAACCCAGGTGGGGCAGCCTCCTTCGTCAGAGGGGAATTCTCAGAGAAGGATATAGTCTTGAGCTCTCAGCAGCCAACACTTCCAACTACTTAGGAATGAGGGCTAATCTCTTAAGGGGGATCCGAGTGGCATGACATGGTGTTCCTATCCCCACTCAGCCAGACTAATTAGCACCATCAGTAGAAATGATTAGGAATGATTCTGACTCTGGGACTAGTTGTCATTACATTTCACCTTTTGCTGAACAAACTCCGGACCACGTGCCAAACACTCTTCTACGTAGATTATGTTGTTGTGTCATCTCAGCACTGTAAGGTCTTATTTATCTTAATATGTACATAAAGAAACTGAGGCTTAGAAACATTAAATAACTTTTCCAAGTTCACATTGCTAGTGAAAGCACTAATAGGATTGAAAGTTAGATTTTTTTAAATCCAACATGTTCTGAGCCAATTCATAGTGTTCGAGATCATATTTTACTGGTTGTGTTTTTATTCCTGACCATCCCACAGATATTTGGGAGAAGGTATAAAATGCATTTACATAGAGAAGGCAAGTGCATAATCCAGGGAGTTTAGGTTTCTGAAAAGTTTCTGAACTATACCAAACCATGTGCCTAAGCACATACTTTCCAGGTCAATGAGGGAGGAAGAGGAGTTCATGCCAGCCAGGCAAACTGAATCAACATCGTTGATCTGGGATTCTCATATCTGAACAAGGAGCCCTGGAAATGATGGACTGAAGCAACAGTGCTGGCCATGGGATTACGTCCAAAAATAGCATTTATAAGACTCTTTTCCACAAACTTTCTCCCTGCATCTTGTCTTCCCCACAACTAAACCAGCAGCCTCCAACAAAACCAGGGATTTGTTGAAGATCGGGAACATGATTTGAACGGTGTTCTAAGTGTGTCACACACCAGCTTCAGCTGGCTTTGTTCATTAATCCTACTGTCTTTGCAGTTATTTCCTTTTTCGTCTCCTGACTTCTTCCCAGAATAACTACTAGGTCTAGTTCAAAAGCATAGCACAGCAAATATTTCTCATCTCAACTACGCAAGGTACTATGTAATTATGGAATGTACTAGAAGGGGTTTGGAGAAAAAGCAAGCTAGTCATTTCAAAGAAAAATCTAAAATAGAACTCATCCAAAGAGGCTATGTTCAAAATGTTTTCAAGCCTGTGTACAGGACTATTTTCCTGTAGCAATGACAATGTCATGTTCCAGCATGAATTTCCAGAATATTACAAGTATATTGACAGTCTCAGTACCTGATGACTGAGAACAGTTTGTTCATAAACATCTCTCTCCAAAACAGAGCAGAAGCAACTGGGTTCCTCCTTTCTTATTTCCGCCCTTCCCCATCAAGACAGCGGGGTGTTATACACAAGTAGAATTACCACACTGGACAAAATTTTCCCAGTCTTGGGAAATAAATATTAACTGAGAATAGCCAAAAGATTACCTCTTCTTTCTTATCTGACTCAAATTAATAAATTCCATGAAATAGAGGATGGACCTAGTCAATAGCCCAAAACACCATGCATTCAATACATATTTGTTGAATTCATAAATGCCCATCACCTACTCCATGGAACCTCTGGGAGAATTAATTCCTCCCTCCTCTGTGCTTTCATAGCATTTTGCACATTATTAACAACATTCTAACATACTGACTTTTGTTATATTTAGTGACAGTCTCTATCTCTACCTCTTGCCTTAATGACAGGAACTGGGCCTCATTCAGTCTAATCCCAAAATTTGTCCTGCACAGAGCAGGACTCAGTATCAATGTTTTCCTGACTCTGATGACCTACCGTTTTAAAACCCATCAGAATGGCCTGTGGAATTGCAAGTGTGCCAAAAAATTGGTGCTGGGGGCAATGGTAGCACTTTATATCCTGACAAGGAAGGTGGATTCAGTTCTGCCAAGTGCCCACGGCAATTAGGTAGCACACTGCAAGGCACTCTGTCTCATTTTGGCATTGCTGTCCTCACCATGCCATCTGCAAGCAGCACAAAACTGTCAGGCTGGATTCCACAGGTTGCCAGGCTGATGGTGTGCTTGGGTTGAAAGAAAAGACCATTCAGGCTAAATCCAGACCCATAGCTGGCAGGAAAACTGTGCCACAGAGAGTTGCCAAACCTTCTTAATCCCGACCTGTGATGCAGGGACTTCGCTTCTCCGGGTGAATTTAGGAATGGTGGAATGACCACTCATTTCATGCCTCACTACTAATCTTTCTTACCTCTTTGTCTGTGCCTTTGCTCACGAGAAGCGGTAATATGTGGTGGTTAGAGGGTGAACTCTGGATCCAGGTGGCCTGGATTTGAATCATGGCTCCATCATTTTCTAGTTGTGCCCCCTTAGGTAGTTTATTTAATAGCTCCATGATTCATTTCTTAGGTGCAAAAATGGAGATAATAATAATATTTAGATCACAGGGTTTGTGTGAAGATTAAATGAGTACCTGGAAAGCACTTAGAATAGTGTATGCTGCAGAATAATCACCTAGTCATGTCGGTTATACAGAGGGCACTGTGCGTGGCATGATAAGGAGTCTAGAATTTACTTTCAGTGCATCGGTAAGCCATTGGAGGGTTTTAAGCAGAGGAGTGGTATGATCTGATTTTTTCTTTTCTGTTGTTTTTTTTTGTTTGCTGAGGAAGCTTCGCCCTGAACTGACATCTCTTGCCAATCTTCCTCTTTTTTTTGCTTGAGGAAGATTAGCCTGAGCTAACAACTGTGCCAATCTTCCTGTATTTCGTATGTGGGTTTCCACCATGGCATGCTGACAAGTGGTGTAAGTCCATGCCTGGGATTCGAACCCACAAACCTGGGCTGCTGAAGTGGAGCATGCCGAACTCAATCACTACACCACGGAGCCAGCCCCCGCATTTATTTCTTAAATATCACTCTTACTATTCTGAAAAGCTAGATTGGAGGAGATGGAGTGAAAGTGTGGAGATGAGTTGGGAGGCTACCATAGCAAACCTGGGAAGAGGTGAGGATGACTTAGAGCAAGTAATGGCTTCCTCTGCTAAGAGTAAAGACAGACAGAATGAGCAGGTTGAGCAGTATTTTGAGGGTAGATCAATGAGATGTGTTGATGGAGTACTTGTGGGAGGTGAGGGAATGGAAGAAATAAATAATGGTTCTAGGTTTCTGGCTTTAGTCATGGAAGCTTGCTGATATCATTTTGATAAAATATAGAAGATTAAAGGAAGAACACGTTTTGGAAAGGAAATCAAACCTTCCTTGGGGAGTTCTAACTTTCAGATGTCTGTGAGAAGTCCAAATAGAACTTTCAAAAGCCTGAATTTTAAGCCTGGAAATCATATGAAATATCTATATGGAAAAATAAACTTGAATCATCATATAGCTATTTAAAGCCACAGGAAGACTTGATATATGCTATGACATTAGGGTCAACGTAAATGAGAAAGGAAGACATAGTCCCAAATGACCCCAATATTTTCAGGTCAAAGAGGAGAGCTATCACATGAAGATGACTGGGGAGAGCCGCCAGGGAGCTAGGAGGAAAGCCGGAGAGTGTGGTGTCCGAGGAGCAGAGGAAGGAGACTCTGTGAAGGAGAGTGAAGCAGCTGGGTGGGTCAAAGACTATTGGGTGATCTTGGAAGGTGAGCACAGGAAACTGTTTTTTGGATTCGGTGATGTAGAGGTCATACGTGACTTTGACAAGAACCCTTTTGGTGAAGTAATGGAAATCAAAGGCAGATTACAAAGGGGCTAAAAAACTAAGTGGTAGAGGCCGGCCTTCATGGCATAGTGGTTAAACTCGCGTGCTCTGCTTCAGTGGCCCGGGGTTCATGGGCCCAGATCCCGGGTACAGACCTACATACCTCTTATCAAGCCATGCTGTGGCAGGCATCCCACAGAAAAAAAATAGAGGAAGATAGGCACAGGTGTCAGCTCAGGGCCAATCTTCCTCAGTAAAAAGAGGATGATTGGTGGTGGATGTTAGCTCAGGGCTAATCTTCCTAAAAAAAAAAAGTAAGTGGTGGTGAAGAAATGGTGACCTTTTGGAGAAGGTGTAGATTGAAGGCAAAGAGTGAAAGAGAGTATAACAATGAAAGATTCCATTTTTGATGTTTTGACTCCTGGCAGTTTTTAAGCCCCAACCCTCCCCTGCCCCTCTTGTCCCACATCTGGGGAAGTGGACAAGAAAGCCCACATGCTCTTTCCCTTGGTGCTGATGGGGAAGTTCAAACCACATAACCCCCATCCAGCACTCAGGATCCCCCAGCACCCCTACCAAATCAATAAAAGCCAAAGCCACCCACTCTGTTTTGCTCTTGCTTCCCTCCGGACCAAACCTGAGCCCTTCTTCTTGGGAAATCCTTTTGCTGTTTATTGTGTGAATAATCAACTTTATTTTGTATCTTATTGGTACCCGTATGTTATTCATGCCGACATGTATAAAATTTCCTGGCAAAGGCTGCCCAGCATCCGTCAGGGGACCCTTAAGCACCCAAATAAAATAGAGACAGAAGTAAGATGTGAGGTCAAGGGAAAATTGGGCATTCTGTTTTTATGGAGGTGACAGGAAGCAGAACACGCTTTTGTGCTGAATGGAAAAATCTAGTAGAGGATAAGAGATCGGTGAAGGAGGAGAAAGAGGGGGTAATTGCAGGAGCAAAGTACTTGAGTGGAGGAGAGGAGATGGGATCCAGAAGACAGGGGCAGAGGCTGACCATCAACAGGAAGAGAGACACTTGCTCCACTGCGACAGAAGAGAAGAGGAAAAGATGGCATTTCAATTCAGATATCCCATGCTTGAGCCAAATAATATAAACGAAAGCAGCAGCAATGTGAGAGATGACAGGGAGCGATTGGGATGTGGGAGGCTGGAGAGAAAACGCGCTCCTACAGGATTCAGATACAAGACTTCACAAAGGGCAATCGGTCTATGAGCCAGCCGTTTATACACACCGGGGCTGCACATCAGCCTCCAGAACTGGTGGTGTTTCCCTTTCGGTCCCTCCGAATTACTCTTGCCATTCACTTCCCATAAAAACGTGAGAAGACAAGGGCTATCCATCTGAATCTTCAGTCACAGCTTCGCAGTCTGGTTGTCCAGATTCCCACTGCAACCTCCCTAGCTGCACGTTTATCTTCATCCTGGGAAAGATGCGTTAGTAAGAGAACACATCTCTTAGTAGGAATTTCAATGATATCTGCAAATAACAAGTATTTGAGTTTTCATTTCTTTCTGTTTCATTTCTTTAGGGTTTTTTTCAAATTGTTTTAACAGTTATCTAGGTATCTAAAGGTAAACTGTTAGTTATTGACTCCTTATACATTTTTTTCCTTGAGATTCATGAACTACATATTCAAACTGGGAAAGCAATTCATAACTCCCCTGGGAGCCAGCAAGCTGAATAGAAATGAGTATATTTCCACAGAAATGGACTCATTACTCTGCCAGTACTGCAAAGGGCTTTATGAATAATTGTTATAAGACAAAGGGATCTTACAGAAAGAAAGCTTTTGCATTTATCTTAGATTATATTTTTGCAATGAAAACAATTTATCCACTTGCCTTTAATTTCCTTTGGTGTTCAGTTTGCTATTTTCCTTTGACTCAAAAGACAGGCACAGTCTAAAATTGGGAAATATTAAGGGAATTGAAAAAATATATTCATGTGAAATATGTTAATGATATAAAATCAACAGCCATTATATTTTTAAAATACAACTTGTGGATATTTTTTACTGTAAAATGTAATCTAAATAATAACAGAACAAGTTTGCTGCCGAGGAATAGAAAAAAAATGGACATTTTCATGTGTGCTATGTGGTGGGCACTATTTTTGGCGTGTTAAATTCTTTATCCCTTTTGCAGTGGGTATTATCTGCTCAGATGAGAAAACTGAAATTCACAGAGTTTAAATAATTTGTCCAAAGTGAAAAAACTGGAAAATGGCACAGCCACCATGTAAATATAGGCCTCATTTTGAAATTTCTTCTTTTGCTCTTTCCCAAAATAGAGGTTAAAGGGAAGGTGAAAGACTCCCATTAAACTCGAAAACTCATAACTTCAAGTAATTTTAGACATTTGACATTTGATGATTGACAATGACAGAGCTTTCTCCTTTTAAATCACTGGAATTTGATGTGGCTGGTATTCAGGTAGAAGTCATGAATTTTAACTGTGGTGATTAATCAACATTTCCTTCCTTTAATCTAATCACTGCCTTTATACTTGCATGGTCAGAAAGTAACAGCCAAGAAAACAAAAAGGAGGGTGGTTGAGGATTATAGGGGGTTATAGGAATCCCTGAGTATAGTTCTCCCTGAGTAGACAGTATTGTCTACACTCCAGATCAGCACACCCAGGGTAACAGTACAGAGATTAGAACCCTCTAGGAAATCAATTTTAAGAGACTCCAGAAAGGGCAGTTTGTTTGGTGAATGGATCCAATATCTTTAAATAAAGAACAAAATAAAGCAACCTCATGCTATTATTTTAAAGCAACATTCATATCTGCGCCACAATGACTGGTACACAGCAGCAGATCAATGCAGTCCATTCATCTGTCTGTCTGTAACTGACCATGCAGCATTGAATCACTTCTAACCCCAAGAAGCTAACAGTGAAAGTTTTTACGGCTCTTGTTAGCAAGGTGAGTTTGAGGATCTAGGAGCAGGAAACATTATAGTTAAATTAAAAAATAAAAGGAGGTAAAAAAGGGAAAGCTTCCATTCCTGCCTTTGAAGCACAGGCCTGACCCTATGCAGCACTTAATAGATAAGGTTGATTCTGGTACCTTATCCCTGGATCACCAGATACCATTATCCTCACACTGTCATGAACAACACAGAGCCCTCTACCCAGAACTGCTGTATCTCTAATATGGTGCCAAGATCCAAAATTATTTTCTCCTTCATCCAGTAGCAATTCCCTCTAATTTAGCACACTGATCTTGGTTACCATTAAGCGAAAGGTGTGGTTTAGTGGAAAGAGAAGACAGCTAAGCACCAGGGCATATGGGCTCTAGTGCCAGCTCTAGAAAATACTTCCTGGCTTACAATTTTGTGATATATTTTATGAGTTTTAATTTATTAATTCACAATATAGAAAGGAAAATATAGACATAACAGCTGTCACAAAACCAAATGAGATAATAGGAATGTCTTCTAAAATTTTTTAAGTAGCATAGAATTATAAGACGTGGTTATTTTTATCATTATTATATGGTAAGCAGTCTGATTAAAACAAGGTGTACTAATATTTTAAAACTCACTTTTATATAACCCATGCTGAGATACTTGCATCTTCAAAAGTGAAAGCTTATTATTCCAGCCATTGAGTTTCCTGAGAGCAGAGACTGCCCTTCATCCCTGTCAGTCATGGTACATATTATATACTCAACAAATGTTGCATTGCTCCTGGCACGGAGAGAACAGCATGAGCTAAAGGATGCAGCATAGCCTGTGAAACAGAAAACAAAAAACCCATCCTAAAAAGGGCTAAAGGATTATACATAATGGGAAGTGTGTGGAGACCAAGCATCACATGGTTGAGAGTGGGTGCATGTCATTAGGGGCCTTGAAAGACAGCAATAGGAAGGCTGACTTTACAGAGCAAACAGCAGCAACCAAACGTTCCAATATCCAGCCAGAGCATTTACACAAAAGCCACAGAAGCTGATGTCCAACTGTTCTCAGTCCCTAAGTAATGAACCTGTCAGGAGGATAATTCTTTATCACATTTTTAGACATTCCTTGGTAAACAATTGGCAAGTTTCTAAATGGCTACAGTTCTAATGTTCCTGTACAAAAGGATTTTTCTCTTTCATCCTCTCATTTGCTTTTCTTCCATAGTTTAACATATATTTTTACACATTTTCCCGTACAGCTTAAAACCCAAGCAGTTACTCTGTTGGCTGTGTACCTTGTTCTGAGATGCTTTACATAAAGACAAATTACATATGCACAGAGTAAGTTAATGAGAGCTTTGAATGAAATGTTTGATGGGTACCCAAGGACATATAAAGAAATGTTAGTGCAGCTTTTGCCAATCAAGGACAGGATTAATCACCAGTAATACGGACATCCTAACCAGGCAGGTTGATTGACACGGTGGAGACATGGGTTCTTCCTAGTCCTTCACTTGTCGTGTCCTCTACGTAAACAATAAGACCTCTTCATACAGAATTTTCCACTTTATCAGGCAAAGGTAACACACAGAACCCCAATAACCTCCAGGATTGGTTAAAAGACACTTCGTTCTAATTTGAGAGGAAAAGAGTAAGATTAGAGAGGGACTATTTATCCCAATAAATTTTTTTTTTAAGAATCACGCTTGTGATAGATTTAAGTCATTCTCTAGGTCAAACCATATCCTACATACATAGATATGCATAGTATAGTTCTATGATGTGGGTCTTATATTATTCCCGTGGCATTTCCCAGCGCGTTAACATTATTTCTGTAATGGGCCTCTATTTCACTTATATTTCAAAATTAGAGCTTTGAAAAAAAGAATATGGTGTGGTTTCACATCAGTCATTTCCAGTTAGCACTTAGCCCAGCAAAATGTCACTTTTTAAGGTAAATTTCAGGCCTTTCCAGCTGAGTAATAAAGAATGGTGATCTCAACGTCTAACTTCTAATTATCTCCCTAGAAGGTTAGGGAAGTTGTAAGTAAGAAAACCACGTAGGAAGATACATTTCTTGACTTTACATCATCATGTTGTTAGCCAGCCTAACAAAATGGGAGTAAATTCAAGAAAGATGGTGGCTAAAATGGAGCAAGAAGAAAGCCCTAGATATTTACCTTTACATTGTCGAAGCCGACCAGTGGCGGTCCCTTTACCTCTTCTTTCTACCCCTAGTTCTGGCCTAAATGGATCTCCATAGATTTTTGTCTGGTTTAAGTACTCTATGATTTAGAAAATCTACAGTAATAGCAGATAGTATTTTCTACAGATTTTGCCACAGCAATATTTCCGTATTTCTACATTCTCTTCCACAATGTTGCCATTCCCCATTAAGAGGTAGAGTCTATTTCCCATCCCCTGGCCGACTTGACCAAAAGAATATGATGGACATGGTGCTGTGTAGCTTTTGATGACAGCTTATAAGAGAAAATATGGCTCTTGTCTCTCAGAATGCTTGCCCTTTCTACCCAGCTGCCATGCTGTAAGGAAGCCTAAATGAGCACTTACAGAGAGGCCTATGTAGAGAGGAACTGAGACCTCTAACCAATAGCCACGTGAGTGATCGTGGAGGCAGATGCTCCAGCTTCAGTCAACCCTTCAGATGACTGCAGACCCACTTGACATCTCAACTGCAACCTCATGAGAAATCCTGAGTTAGAACCATCCAACAACACTTATGTTTTAAGCTACAAAATTTTGGAGTAATCTGTTATGCAGCAATACTAAACTAATGCACCTTCCTGTTAGGGTCACATGAATGGAGACAATAACCTTTTGACCATACACAAAACATATGAAGGGGAAAGACTCAGAGAAGGTGGTGAGGGAGAAAAGAAAAAAAAAAAGCAGCAACCAGAGAAAGAAAGGAATTGTGGTTTTCATGGCATTGAGGGCAATTAAAGTTTACTCAGCTGCCTGTGACTGCTGAAAGCTCTTGAATCCTATGTCCAGGGATCCTGTTGCATAAGACTTCCCAAAAGAGACCAGTGTTCAAGGGAAACCAGAAAATGCCCTGCTTTTTCAAGTACAATAGGAGAGGCAAAGGACATTCAAAATTAGAATTTTTGCAGCATCAAGCAATTCATTTTTCATACTGATGACAATTCTATTTTGTTCTATTAAATGATTTGCATGAAAACCTTATGACAGAATGCCAGCAAAAGTGCAGGAGAGACCTCATCCTTATTTCAAATGCTCTCAGGATGTCTGGAAAAGGAGAATGTGCCAACACAGGCAATGCCCTGTATAAGCACTGACCTTCGGCAAACCACAGCCGTGATTTTTGTGACATCCTGGGGACACTTATGAACAACAAGCAACTTCTGAGTGAAATTAAAAAAAAAAAAAAAATGGTGATGCCATGTTTTAGACTTTCTTAAGAAATTCTTGAGATCATATGTATTTCAGAATTCAGAACATCTTTGATTTTAGAAAGGTAATCTGTACATTATTACAGTGCCCCAAAATCAACATTAGCAATATTTCCACAGAAAAATAAATGAATATGAAATAAATGAATATGAATAATAATGAATAGCATAAGTATCCTCAAATCTGTTCAGGTCAATATTTTTTTCCAAATAAATTTTAGCACCAAACTTATGAAAAATATTTTGGTGTTCAGAGCTTTTGGGATCTTAAAATTGCAAATAAGAGATTATGGACTATAATGACAAAAATATCTAAAAGAAAACCTACAATTTTTTGGAGAGTTAATTTGTGCCAGTCAGTGTGTTAATCTTATTTATCATCTCATCTATCTTGTGAAAATGATAAAATTGAGGACCATAGAGGTAAATAACATTCCCAAATTCACAGGACTAATAAGTAGGCAGATTCAGGCTTCCATCTTGAGCCAGACTTCAAATCCCCAGCCTTTAACCACTCTATCATATTATAAGGGATACAAGTCTGGTGGTTTGTTTTTCTTTCCTTT